AAATTGGCGTGTGTCCTCCTAGGAGGCCGGTATGCTGGGTCTTCCCTGGAACCCCTAGTCGGGCTCCTGAAGTGCCCATGAAGCTGTTTCCAGCGTCTCTTCACAGAGCTGAAAGGCTGCTTCAAAACTCACGTTGAGAAGCCAGGGTTCGTACCTCTCCCGGTCTTGCCCACGTAATACTCCTTGGCCTTGCCCACATAGTACATTCTACCACAATAGGCATCTGATGAATCGAAATTATTCTATATTAAGTTACATGTAGCTATGGAGTTGCCATACTTGTATTCTAGGCCCCATCTGTGCAGAGTGCAACCCCCAGCCAGCAGGACTGTACTTTGGGGCGCACTCCTTCGTGCTCTCCCCCACTCTTTCTAAGACATGACACAGTGTACTAAGGGTCTGTCGGAGCCATTAACTTTGGTCTTACTTCCACGGATAGTTAACTACCGCTGTGGGGCAAAGACAGGCTTTACCGAGCAGTCACGGGAACAAGAAAGAATGTAGCGCAGAGGCTAAACCAACAGTGAGAGCCCACAATATATATGGATCCATTTTTCAGTGGCGTAAATTCGGCATAGGTCAACCAAGTCCATCCGCAAAAGTCTGCGTTTCCAAACATTTCCTGTGGAGCACGACCTCTGGCAAAAGAGTGCATCTGGTGTGCATGATTCTGTGGCTTTGCCCACTAGCAAGGTGTATATATGATGCTTAATTGATTTGCACCCCTATTCTTCACACTTAGACGCATTTACATCGTTTTCCTGGAGAACAGAGCTTGTGGCCCTCTGGGAACGTCTCACCATTGCGCTGGAGGAGGTGTCGGCAGCCCCGCAAACCTGTTTCTTCCCGTAGTTCAAAACTGCAGATTACATGTTTTCTTTTCCCATCAGGTTTTCTGAGTCGGATCCGTTTGTTTTTTGAGAATGAACGAGAGGAAGGTGCCTGCTGGTTTAGAAGTCAGAGCACGATTAAAAAATCCATTGCTAGCTTACAAGGATTTGAAGGTGGGGAATCGAAAAGGTGTCTCAAGACCCGGACTGAAACGAGCTGCATTACAGTCTCTTGTTGTTGCTGCATCTTGCGTTGTGCTATTCGTCATATTTCGTAAAAATCTGGTGCTTAATGATTCACTTTTGGATCAAGAAGGCTCAGATGAAGGACTCACTCGCAGATTTTCTGACCCCGTCTTGGTAACTTCCCAGCATGAACATGGTCAGAAAGAGGGCATTATTTCCACGCTAGATGACTCTGAGGCCCCATCTGCTGAGGGTCAGCTTGGGGAATCCACGTCAAGTAGGTCCCCCGGATCTCACGGGCTGTATGATCAAGAACAGCACCCAGCCCCACAAAACGATGCTTGGGGGCTGCCTTCGCTTGTCTATTTTGAAAGCACACTTCAATCGAGGCTGAGACGAGGCAGAGAAGCGATTGCTGCCTGGGTGGCACGCTTCAACGAGTCTCGCTTCCTGAGTGGAAGTGCCAATAAATCGCAGCGTCTTCTTGCAGAGGCTTTATCGAGCGGCGCTTCAGATTCCTTGGTAGGAATGACTGTTGTTCTGCGCGATGTACATCCACTAAACTGGAGTGACAAGTCCGGCCCCCAAATGTTACGCATCAAAAAAGTAGTGGATGTCTTACAGTGGAATTTAGTCGCGCATGCGGAGGACACACGCACTGGGAAGACTTATACCTTGCACATACCTGTGATTCGCAAGAAGTGGGTTGACGATATGGAAGTTGCGCTCTTTCTACACAGGGTAAGAGAGGCGGCTACCGCGCAGATAGAGTCATCACTGCAGGCCTGCGGCAACCTTCCAGCGGAGTTTGTTGCTAACCAGAAGGGCTTCGCCATCCCAGTGTACAGCACCGAAATAGTAGGCATGGATCCGGCGTTTAGTGCGCGGGACTCTTACATTTTCAACCGCGTAGTGCTGATGGAGAAGTTCCAGGGGAACCTTGCCGTTATGAAATCGGCAGCAAGCAGTGTCATGCTGGAAGCGCGCGAATATATTGCTTCGCGGCTATTGCAGATAGTCCTTAAGCTCGAACAGTCGGGGGTTGGCCACATCAGCATTGACTGGAGTTCCCTGTTTTTGCGAGATGATGGCACTTTTCTCCTGGGCAACTTTGTGAGCGCCAGTCCCTTTGGAAAGCCAACGTCTGAATTGATGAGCGCAGTTTCGAATTACCCAGACCCAAATATGGTGCTCCAGTCCCAAGAGAATGGTATTTGTCCCACTGCTGGATCGAACTTATGGACCTTAGGTGTTCTTCTTTTCGAGCTCTACACAGGTGATTCAGAGCCATTTGGGTCATCGGATGGACCAGACTGGGAGCAGCAAACACTGCGCCTCTCCGAAAAGTTGCTGAAAGAGGGTGCGCGTTCTGAGGTGCTGGCCTCAAAGCTAGACGTCGCGAAGACTCCAACTAGATGGAAACAACTAATTATGCGATTATTGGAGCCGTCTCCCGTCTATAGAATAACAGGCTTTGAGGTTGTAAGGGAATTTTCGGATCTCCTACAACTCCATCCTCAGTAGCTACAGTAAAGTTGAGCCAACGTACTACGAATCGCAGCTGCCGCGAGTGGTGCAGGTGCGAGCCCTTTTTGGTAGGCCAAAGTAGATGCTCGCCTTGGTACATCACGTTTCCGTCCTAGTGGTCTGAAAGTCGTTGCAGCTTTCGGATCTCGCGTTCGCGTAACTGCGCAGGTAAGTAGGAGCATGCGAGCTGACAAGAAGCACTAGCTTGTCAGGTGGACTGCCCATCCGCATTCGCGTGTTAGTCATTGTTCTTGATATGCTATCAAAGAGCAGTTGTTTTTGGACTCCTTGTCACTTCACCTTCCGGTGAAGTTCCTTCAAAACCTTAACTAGCAGGAGCTGAGTCCACCATGTTTATGGTGGGAGCTGGAGACTTGCAGCAGCGCCTGACTTAGTCTTTGTTTTTTGCAAAGACCCTCATTTTAGCATTGTACTTCTTTTGCACATTTGAACGTTGCCTCAAGAGTCGCATCGAAACATGCCTGTACTTTTTAATGTAAAGAGGTAGATGTCGTTTCGTGAAACAGGATGTCACCACTTTGCAGCTTCAGCTTATGTTTGCGAAGTCTGGGATCAGGAGCTGACCTACTGTGGATTGCATGTTATTTGGAATTAAATATACATGTTACTGGTAGCGTTACGCAACCGAATCTAGTGGACTGTAAATATTTACGTAGCAGTTGTATAACAGCGCTCGGCCAAGGGGGGGCTGTGTGTTCCTGTCGCATTGCTCTGAAAGGTTTCCGGAGCCTCCACTGGTGCATAAAATTTCTCAGAACTACGCAGGCCAGCCTGGAGGACAAAGGGAACTGGAAACCCAGCATCGAGCAACGCTTGCAGCATGAAGCTGTGAGCCGCATCCTCCGGGTGTCCAAAAGGCTCTTCAGTTAGCAACCCCTGTGGTTTGTTAGCCAGTCTTGTGTGAAGCCAGAAATTACGCGTCGCCTTATGTCGCAGCGAGCGTAACAACTGGAATCAAGATTAGATAAATGATTTCACCTAGGCGGATTTAAATCTGTTCCATGGGGCGCTAGTTTCTGGCTGAGGCACCGGAGGCGCACGGCGCCATATGCAAGGGCTCTAAGGGCTTATACAATGTAAAGTTATCAAACTTTTCAGGAGCAAGCATAGCTATTGTATTTTTGCCTCGGACACGGACCATCTCGACACTGCGACCATTCTTAACCACTGCTCAGGGGTCACCGCCGACTGGCGCCCTCTAACCCTTGTAGCGGGGCGTAAGCTGACCTTAAATTACCAACCATGTACATGGTGCTGTGCAGCTGTCACCATATTTGGGATTCTGCCCTATTTCTTCTTAAATTTTGTTTCATGCTTCAGTGTGTGCCTTTACTGCTTGCTCAGTGTCTTCTACACCCGGGAGCGTTCCCCGACATTAAAATGCCTACTGTTACATACCGGGATGCACATAAGACTCTCCTACTTACGAGCATTCTTCCCTTGGGTTGCACTTTTTAAGTTGACTATAAAGCGGGCCCGTCGACTTTTCTGTTTCTACGAAGAGCCGTACAAAGCTATGCAAAGGCTCCATCCGTTCAAAGTGCCATAATTCATGTTGAAATGCTCCAGATTTAAGATATTTGGGCACAGCACTGACGGCTAGTAATGCGTTGAAGCCCCCATACAGTGAAGACACATACCGTTCAGTATTGTGGAATGTTGCCGCTGTACTAGGATCGAAACTAAGAAGCGAAGAAACAGCTATTTTGAGAGAGAACTCTGAGCAAGTCGACCAACTGATGTCTTGGAGAAAGTTGTGGAGAAGGATGCTCCAGTGTGCTGCAATGCTGCAATGTAGGAATGGAAGCCCTGAATGCGTTGCGCAGGAAGCGAAGCCCCAAATTGAAGCAGATATTCCAATAATTCTTCAAATGTGCCTTGTCTTACTGCACTTAATACGAACGAAAGCTAAATTTGCTATTTGAGTCGTTCCCACAGAAACGCAACATTTCTTAGAACTGGTCACCTGAATGGGAGGCAGCATCAGTAACAACTCTTACCTCGGGTACAGCGCCGTTCCATAGACACAGCAGACCTGTCTCACCTTGAAATTTTTTTCGCAAACTGAGCCGACGCTGTCCTGCGTCGGCTCAGTAGAAAGTTATCTACTGGACAGCAGAATGCAACTGGTGCACCGAATATGCATTGGACCTGCCTGGAACACGTTTCAAGTCTGGATGGTGTACGTTCATCTATCTTTGTAGACATGCTGCGATTGAAGTGTCATTTTGATGCTGGCTTAATTCAAGTGTATGCTTGAATCTCGCCTTGATAGGAAAACACGGCTTACCAAACTGGCGTGAGCGACGGCTGATGATGGATCGGCAGCCCCAAATGTCCTTAACTTTTCACAGTATTATTGAAATGCATGTTGACCGCTATTTTTCGTGCTTTTCGACAGCCTAATGCTCGAATTTGGTCATTCTGTTTATGAGGATGGATGAAAAACAGAATGCGTCTGTCGCAGGTGCGAGGGTCGAAACCAATCTAGATTTGCGTGGGGTGCTCCCAATAGCGGACTCGCATCAGATACTTGGCTTTCGGTCAAAACAACATTATTTGCGCTGGTTGTATTCATTTGTCGCCGGACTGATCTGCTTCATTGTAATCCGTGGGAATCTGGCGCCACATGTGAATGGCTCAGCTTTAGATGTTCCAGCAGCTGACGCTGAACACATTTCTACCAATTCTAGTTCTCTTGTATCTCCTAGTCAAGATTTTGGGGATAGAGTGGAGCCAGATGACAGTTCTTCCCCTGCTGACGACTTTGAGGGGACGCCACCCGCTGTGCAGCTCATTGAAGGCGGCCCTTGGACTTCCATTTTGCTAGGTGGTGATTCAAGCACACACATGCCGGATCATGATATCTGGGGCGCCCCATCATTGGAAAAATTTGAAAACGCTCTCCCACCGCAGCTTCAACGGAGCAAAGATGCAATTGCTGCGTGGACCGCCCAGTTCTACGCATCTGATAATGCCAATGAATATGCTGAGGCTCTCCAACGTATGGTAGCAGAGGCAATTTCCAGTGGAACTGAAGACTCCTTAGTAGGGAAAACCATAGATTTGCGGGGAATATGGCCACTAAACTGGAGGAATAGTGATGGGCCTTTGCCTCACAAAATGCGCATTGTCAAAGTGGTGGGAGTTGCTGGACGAGCTTTAGTGGTGAATGCCATAGATTGTAAGTCCAGGGATTCCTTTTCGGTGCACATCCCTGTGATTTCTGAAGATTTTATCGGCAGTCATGGCAGTGAGGACGCGTTGCGCGAGGTGAGACGTGCCGCAGATGCTGCTGTGGAAGCACAGATGCAGGCCTGTGGTGGCGTTTCGGCTGAACAGGCAGCTTCTCAGAAGGGCATCGCCGTCCCACTCTACACTGCCGAGATCCAGTCCCTTGATGAGCTTCATTCGCGAGAAAGGTTTTACATCTTTAACCGCACAGAGTTGGGGGAGAAGGTTGACGGAAGTCTGGCTCAGCTGAGGTCGGAAGCTCCAAGCGTGATGACAGAGGCACGTGATTACATCGCATCCCGCTTACTGCATATAGTGCTGAAACTTGAGCAATCTGGTGTAGGGCACCTCAAGATTGACTGGAGTTCATTTTTTCTGCGTGGAGATGGCTCTTTTCTGTTGGGGAACTTTAGCAGCGCCAGCCCTTTTGGAGTTCCGACTGGCAATTTATTCAGCTCCATGTCGGATTACCCAGAGCCATTCATGATGCTCTCTTCAAGAAGATCTGGCCTTACTACTGAAGCTGGAACGAACTTGTGGTCGCTTGGTGTCCTTCTGTTCCAATTATACACAGGTGAGGAACACCCATATGCTGTGGTGGAAGGAAGGACCTGGACAGAACGGAGAATGCAGTTAGCACGAGTTATGCTGGAACAGAAAGTCCGTTCGGATGTTTTGCTCCCTAAACTAGAGGCGTGCAACGTGCCGGATCCGTGGAAAAAGGTGATTCTGCGGCTATTAGAGCCATGCAGAGAGTTTAGAATAAGTGGCCCAGATATAGTCAAGGAGTTTCCGGAACTCATATACGCCCATCCCGACTAACCCCGCGGCGACGCATAAATTTGCGCACAAAGCTTTTGTCGTCGTTGGATCTGCGGCTGGTTCGAGGGAGAGGCGTGGTGGATCTGCAACGCGCCCATGCACGAACATCCAGAACCAGCTACAGCATTAGGTTCTGGCTTGGGAGGACTTGTAGCAGCTGCAGCCGAGCAGAGCGCAGCAGATTTGATATGTGAGCTTACGCTTCTGCAAGTGCTTCACTTGCGTATTGAAGTGCTGGCAGCAAGAGCTGATGCCTCCCAAAATTCCCCTTTTGACAGGAACTGTCATCTCATGGGGACAAATGCATCGTAATTTTATTAGGACCTGTCAAAATTGAAGGATACCAGCACATTGTGAATTCGACAAGAACTTTGCAAAAGCTGCTAGCGCTCGGGAGGATTCCCTTAATATCATAGACCCGCTAGAACAGCTTAACACTTAGGGGGAGCGGACGTATTCCGTGGTAGGGGAAGAGACCCCGACAGAACGGAATATGCAGGGACAGCGTGTGAGTTCAGTTCGTGCATGTAGGATCTGTTGGCAGGATTGCCGTACTGCTGCCTTTTCCGCCCGAGGGGAAGTTAAAGGTAATTCTAGCGAAGCAGCATACGATGCGCGCTCTCCCGCCAGGCCCCCGAGCTGGAGCTAATAATGTAGCCTAGAAGGGCCACACAGCCTAGCGAATGCTCTTATTTGCAGTAATAGCACACAGCTGCTGGTTGGAGCAAGCAGAGAAGACCCACCACCCTAGCGGGAACCGAGCATACACGATCGGGAAGTAATTGGTACTTCGATTCTGGGCAAGTATCTCCATGCGTTTCGGATGAGCTGAGGCTTACTGTATCTAGCATGTATCTATCTAGCGATATCTAGCATAGGAAGGTAACTTTTTTGGAGGGTGTAGTACCATTTGCCTATGGACCAACCTGGGTAGATTCACTACCGTATGCCGGAGGATACGCCCATATGCATAGACGCATCAACATCAATCCAACTGCTAGATAACATTGTGCTTATTTGAGCTCTATCGTAGTTAAGCGCTCTACTAGCGCTTGTCTGCTGCTTGCAGCAGCGGACGGTCATAGCTCTGCCATGACCCATTGGGGATGCATCGGCAGCCATAGCACTGTTCCGCGCCGTAGCTTGGTTTTCAGCCCATACAAAAATCCTAAATCAGTTTATTGGACTGTATTTTTTTTGTCAACGATGAAAGGGGAGCTGGATCTCGTTGCAACGGAAATGGAATTGCAGACAGAGCCGCTGCTTCTAGACAGTGGTCTAGAAACAGAGAATCGACCAGCTCCTCGTTTGCGGCCCAAACGGCTTCTCCGCTCTGCTCAGGTTTTTGTTATAGCCGCTTTGCTTTTTGTTTCTGTGTTTCGAAGAGGTGTTGTGCGCGATCTATATAGTTTGTTCTTGGGCGCAGCCGGCCTAGCTGAAAACAAAGCTCTTTCTAGCCTTTCTGCGCTGCACATGCCATCTGGTGTACGGAAGGAAATCCTACCCCAGCATGATAATGGCGCCAAGTCGGCCTCAGAGTCTTTAGAGTGGGAAAGAACTCAGCCTGCGCTGCCGCCTGTTGAGGTCCCTTCAAAAGACAAACTAGCTGACTGTACGCATGCCTCCATTTCAGAGGTTCCATCAGCGGAGCGTGCGCCGAAGTACGACGCCTGGGGCCTACCACCACTTGAGCAATTTGAGCATACGCTCCCCCCAAAGCTAAGAGAAGGCAAACACACGATTGCTGCTTGGGCTGCTCAGTTCTACGCCTCCGACCCTATCTCTTACTATGCGAAGATTTATCAACGCATTCTCGCTCGAGCAATTTCTAAAGGAACCGTGAACTCCTTGACAGATATGACAATTGAACTGCGGGATACAGTGCGATTAAACTGCAAAGGTTGTACTGACGCACTACCCCGGTCGGTGCGCGTTATAAGAGTGGCGGGAGTTCATGGGGCGAGTTTAGTGATGCATGTCGAAGATGTCATGAGCAGAAGGGTTTATTCTCTGCACGTTCCTGTGACTGCGAAAGAATTGGTAAGGGAATTTGGAGACGAGGGATTTCTGCAGAACATGGAGGAGGCGGTTGCTCTAGAGAAACTTTCGTCGATGCAGGCTTGTGGGAACATTTCAGCCGAACTTGCAGCATCACACAAGGGCATTGTAGTCCCGTTATGCTCAGGCCGTATTGACGGTCTTAAGGAATTGTTTTCAGGACAGTGGGCGTACATCTACAATGAAGTGAAGCTGACAGACAAGATTCATGGGAGCCTTCAGCACCTACGGACAGCGGATGTCGATGTAATGACACAAGCGCGCGATTACATAGCATTCCGTCTGCTACATATAGTGCTAAGACTAGAGCAGTCGGGCGTTGGCCACATCGGCATTGAGTGGGGTTCTTTCTTCTTGCAAGAAGATGGCTCGTTCTTATTGGGCAACTTTGACAGCGCCAGTCCTTTTGGAAAACCAGTGGCAACATTTTCCAGTTCCTTGGTAGATTATCCTGAGCCGAAGCTGGTGTTGCAGTCCAACACCATAGGCCTTGCTCCTGAGGCTCAGTCGAATTTATGGTCCTTAGGTGTCCTCCTTTTCGAGTTGTACACAGGAGAGACGGAACCATATGGCAGAGTAGAAGGGAGCACATTTGGGGAGAGGGCATGGCATCTTTCCAAAAACTTGCTGAGCGAAGGGACGCGCTCGAGAGTGCTTATTCCTAAACTAGAAGCTCACAACGTGCCATTTCGGTGGAAAATGCTAATTTTGCAGCTGTTGGAGCCACGTAGCTCAGAAAGGACCACGGCTTTAGAGATTATCAGGAATTTTCCAGACCTCGTATACATGATCTTCGATTGAGTGCACTTTTCGCCTCAACCCTTTTGGATGAAGTTTTACAGCTCACTCTCATCTTAAAGCGCCTTTGATTAGAAAGGAATTCTGCGGTTCTACGCTGCCTCTGTTCAAAATAACTGAGGGTCTTTTGAGGCATTAGCCCTGCAATCTAGGGAGCAGTTAAGGTAAATCGAAGCATCCAAGCTGCCAGCGGATCGCACCTCGTACTGAACGCCTGTGATGTGCCTTCTTGTGTGCTTTTGCCCATTTCAATGCTGGCACAGCAGGTCCAGGTATTACGATTCTTGAGAGCTTGCACACTTTCCGTAACGACGGCAATCGCCATGAGGAAAAGTGGATAGAGAAGTTTCCCTGCTTGGCGGTTGCACTACCTCCGATTTTGTTGCTTATTTGCGAATTGGCATGCGGTTAGCAGCGTGTATGTGAGGGGACGCAAACACACTGCAGCTTCAAGGTTTGCCTAATATTCACGCGAATCTCCGCACCTGCAACAATAAAAGATTGCACGACTTATTTTCGTCTCTGGAAGGACGGCTGGAAGTAAGAAAGTGTTCTTATTTTTTGTGAGGAAAAAGGGAAGACGTTCAGCACATAAAGCCCTTCTATTGTGAAATCTAGGTCTTCCGATGTTCAGAAGCCCATCCTTCAGCCTGCGCTTTAGAACCTGCTTGGACAGTCCAAAATCAGGAAATCAGGTGTAAGCTCAATATCACCGAACTCCATAGGAAATCAACTGGTATATTGCGGCCTGCGGAAGAGTACTTTTAGGGGCAGCTGAGGGCATTTGAAAGTGTTGCCAATCGCATTTCTGAGTGTAGCACCTGGTTTCTGCGATTGGAGAACCCATACATTGCGGGGTACTGCCTGAAAAGCTTCAGAAACTTGGGAGATATAATAAAAATGAAGTACAATTTTACCATGGGAAGTTTGGAAACAGCTTAAGGGACCGAGGTCTCATGTGACGAATGGCTTGCTCAAAGCCAAAGCTTTGGGAGTCCCCCTTTTAAACAAAACATCGCATGAGCTTGCCCTTGTGTAATTGTTACAAACCATTGAACCATTGATGCAGAATGCCTGGGTGCAACAAACAGAGAGAGTTGCTTTAGCTATTAGAAAGATTTCGACCCCTTTCTTGGTCCTTCAAAACGCTTGCGCACAGAAAGTGCACTAGGAACGTCGAATAGAACACCGTAGGGGTTGCCTGTGTACCCTTCCACGACATTAAAGTATGCAGAAGGGAGTCCTTGGCACCCGAAGGTGGAGAAATAGACACTTCAACAACGAAAAGATCCTGCAAAACTGATATGGAGAAGAATGCCGCAATGAAAGATATCGTACGGCAGTGGCACGTAGAAAATGGGGCCTCTTGTGACCGTCAAGTTCTATAACGTAACAAACAAACGTGTGGAACGCCTAAGGCGAACAATGGAGTTACAATGACTACTGCGAACTTCAGGTTCTTTAGAGTTACACTTGCAGATGCGTTGCATAGACCTAACTTGCTTTGGAAAGCATCGATTGGACATACTTTGTGCCACTGCAAACGGATCAGCCGCATGCCTTTGCTTTGTCCCTAGCTTTAATCACCTCCAGGCAGCGACCAAGTCAGCGCAAATGGTTTGCTGATGAGAGGCCAGCCAAGTCGTAGATATAATTTTTTTATGAGATACCCACAACGCACCATCAATAATTTATCGCGGCGTTTTGAGATAAGTCAGGGGAAGCTGTTTGCCGATAAGTGCTAGAGTTGCCACAATGGATTATGCCAAGTATTTGTCAGCGATTAGGAAGGAACCTCACATGTATTGAGGGATAAAGATGCTGCGGAGAGAGGCAGCATGGAGCTACAACATGAACGGCGGCAGCACATTATGTGCGGTGACTAGGGGGCATAGGCGACAAACAGCTCAAGCGTAGACAAGCTTCCAACACACAGAAAGCATTTCCCTTCACAGGCCTCGCGATAGAGAGTGAGTTGGAACAGCAACTTGTCGAGGTCGTTTTTAAGAGTACATGCTGTGCAGGTGCAGTCTGTACTATGTGGTACAAGATGACTACTATTCACAGGGATCACGTTTCCACATTCATAAAGGTTCATGGAAACTGGCTCAGACATGCACACAAGCTCTTAATATACACTTCTT